TTTAAATCGGTAACTTGGTAACAATTATGCCACGTTATCAGTTTATAAAATATTATAAAAATAAACTAGCGTCCAGGAGTCATCGTGCAGTTGTTACTGATCCCGTCATATTTTTAGGTTGTTTTATTGTAACGTTGATTGAGGATTAGAATCAACGTCTGTAATTAATAATTTAATTGTATTATAATACAAAATCAAACCAACCACAAAAACCATTGATAGTGATTATTCCATAATTTCATTGGTAAATTTTTATTGGCCCAATACAATCGTTCAGAAAAAAAATAATTTTTTATTACTAAAATAATAACAAAAGTTCCGTGTACACAGTGTTTTTGAAATTTTAAACTGAAATATCTCCGTTGATCTGATAAAAAATAAACATAAAAGTTTTGCTTTTAGATTGAAAAAGGATAAAAATAAATCTGATGATTTTCTAATAAAATCCAGTGGAGTCGAAAATATGAGGGTAAAAGGGGGAAACCCCTCCCAAAATCTCCGCCACTGGGCCTTTTGTAGAAAATTTTCATTATATTATCGACGGAAGCTTAACCTACACAAAATTTGAGAAGAATCGGTTTAATGGTTTAAAAATTATTTTGAAGGACTATATCTCCGTTAGTATGCATTTTTGAAAAATGTTTTTGGGTTTGTTTTTATTGGTTTTTCAGGCTTTATCGATCATTAAAAATTTTCAGATTAATCCTGGACCACCCTGTATACTTATAATTGCTATAAGAATAAAGAAAAGAAAAACCTTATATATAAGTCTTATATATAAGGTTTTTCTTTTCTTTATTCTTACAGCAATTATTCATATGGCCCATATGGCAATATTGTTGGCTAGAGTTTGTGTTATTATTTTTATTATGTATTTTATATAAGGAGAGATACATTTTTTGATTTATTGTTATTGATAGGTACTGTATCTGAATAAATGTTATGTTCAATCGTGTTGTTTTTATTTCATATCGCCTATTTTAGGCGGTTGAGGCCTATTTTAGTCACTTTTGGCCTAAATTGGCCTAAAATGTAGGTTTTTATTGCCTATTTATGTGTCCTAATTTCCAATTTTTAACTGCCTAAAATCCGGTCTTTGCTTATTAAAAATAAAAGTTATTTTTTCGACCCACCTTTAAAACGCCCATTATCGTACATGTCGATGAGTTTCTGCCAAAGTATCGCAAGCAACATAACTTAAATTTAGGGAATCGAAAACATTTTTTGTCTTAAAGTCTGTTTTAAATTAAATATAGTCTCAAGGTTTCATAACAAGTAAATAGCTTATAATTATTTCTATTTACCTGTTATAAAACATATAGGTTATATATGGTTTAAAACAGACTTTAAAATAAAAAATGTTTTCAATTCCCGACATTTGAATTATGTTACTTGCGATACTTTGGTAAAAACTCATCGATGTTTCCATGACACTAAGTGAACTTTTAAATACACATTGACAAGTTGTGGCCTTTCGGCGCTTTAGTCACGGGCTGAAATTAGCAAAAGGTTTTTAGTCACGGGCTGAAGTTTGTTTTAAGTTAGTTGACAGTTGTCAAATGGCAATCGTTAAAATAAAGTGCCTTTCTTATAAAATAATACTACTTAAAGGTGAAAATTATTTTATCTCAATTCAAAAATACAAAAGTGTTAAATAGTTTCTTGACGCCAATACTTGAAAAGATTATAATGTTTGTACTGACCTTTTGATTTCGCCTTAGTAGAGAAGTTAACTAGATTTAACTGATAGAGCGTTAACAATTTAGCGAACAGTGCCCATAGAACATAATTTTCTCTTTTACTGTGAAAAACTGTTTCTATATCGATAGTTAGTCTATTTTCAAGGGATAAACTTTGATTTACACAGAAGAATTTGAGATTGAAAATATCGGCAAAACCTCAAAAATTGACATTTTTTTTCAGGTAATTTTTGAGTTAGATGGGTAGTTAATACCTGTCTCCATCCAGTATTGAAAAATAATTATATAAAATACGTATATTTTGTCTTGTACATCACTGATGTAACATCAGTTTAAACTTGACGCTTTCAGTTGAAGGTACTTTACACGCGATCGCTGCGGAAAATTGTTTATTGTTTAAAAGTGAATAACTTGTGTTTGGTGTGTCCGATTGTTATGCGGTTTGATGAAGGGTGATCTTCAAGGTATATAAAATTCAGATATGTATTTGTTTCTCGTAGCTTTTGCTTGTACATCGGGTTATTGTAATCGACAAGATCGGTCTGTTAAAATCGCAAACTTTGAATCGAGCTTTTAGAACAATGGAGCTAAAAAAATTGTAATGAATTGTAAGGCATCAGTTCAAGATCCGTTGAATAGCTTAGAGTTTTGTCTATCAAGCCATCAATAAATTAGCTGCCCCAACTTGCCCCCGGCTAAAACTACATGTTCTTGGGCGCTTAGGCACGGTTGTGGTAAAAAACCTCGCGATTTTAAGCCTACGTCGCGCGCGTATCTGTGTTTTTGCTTTACAAAATATAGGATTTTTTTTATTTCTGAGTTGCGTTCATGACGTTTACTCGATTTACTCGGTTTTAACTCAAAAGGTTTATTACAACAGCGGTGTCTAGACTTTCACTTGCGTAAATCGTTCGTGACAACTAGGATACAAAAACCCCTGTATGGTGATTTTCAATTAATTCCGTCAATTTTTTTACAAATATGTCCGCAATTTTGGATCTACCATTTTGAATTTTGGAATTATGATTCCAGTTTCGTTATCAGCGACCCCAAAAACCCTGTATGGTGATATTCAATTTATTCCGTCAATTTTTTGACAAATATGTCCGCCATTTTGAATCTACCATTTTGAATTTTGGAATTCTGTTTCCAGATTCGTTATCAGCGACCCCAAAAACCTCTATATAGAATCCGACTACTCCTTGATATTTTGCCGAAAATTTCGAGAATTGAAACACTGTGCGCCGGTATATTCGTAAGTTAGAAATTCTAACGTGAACTCCAATAAATAAAACTTGTTGTAACTTTAACATTTCCTGTATAAGAATTTTTAATACTATAATATTTTGCAATTATAGTAATAAAAAATCATAGGATAAAATATGTTCTAACATAATCATATATTGAAGTTATTGTAAAGTTTAATTAAAATAATAACGGGCAATATTAATGGTAAAAATTACGTCAAAAATGTTTATTTTATTTTCCTATAGATGTCTCTTTATACAAATATTTAATTTAAATTGTTTTTTAAATAATATTAAGTATTTGTCGTAGAAAAAGTATAGTATGCAACTCGTTAATAAGCTTTTCTAGGCACTCATATAAATTACTATAATCGATTTCAAACTTGGACAAAATTAAAGATTTTTATGATTTACGCTGTAAAATGATAAAAAAGAACCTAATTTAACTGTTTTTTTTACTTTATTACTGAAATCACCCAGGTATCCTCAATTAAAGAATGCATTAATTTTATTATTTATTTATTAAAAAACAGAATATTAAAAAAATAATTAATAATATTAAAATAAAAAACTTGTACTCCGGAAATGCCAAGCGTACACTGAAGTATAGAAAAGATACGTTAAACATTTTAAATTGAAGGTCTTTAATTTTCTCGTTAAATAGGTTTTATTTGTGCTATAGATATATTTCCACGGTATAATTGGCAATCTTGGTTAGGTTAATAAGAGTTCGTTACAAATGAATGAATACGAATTTACTTGAGATGTTTTTCGAAATTAAAATTGTAATCGGTTATAAAAGTCTTGAAAGAATTTGTTGTAAATAATGTTTAACAAGATTAGGTATCTTTAATTTGCCATCGCGATTTGCATACAAATTAGTTAGGAATAGGCATAACAAGTATTTAACATATTTCATTATCTGCTTACAGTAATTATGTCGACTTTACCGTGAATTTTTTAAAATTTAAATGTTCTTGAAACCGTTAAAAAAAGTATAAAGTATAGATTAAAAAATACGGTATGGTTTGGTAACGAACACGTGTTATAAATTCCAAGATTTTTATTTTTTCTCGAGTCCGATTTGTTCAAAGATATCAAAACAACGAGTTTATTTAAGGAGTTGTTATACATTTTTTGAGTATAAAAAATAAAAATGAGATCGTTGCAGATACCAACGTGCACGTCAAAAAATATTGTGAAACAGTTAAAAATTTATAAAACTTGTTTTTGTTATAAAAGATTATTAATTTAATTTTAAATAATAATAGTTTTTAAGGATTATTCCAGCGAAATGCTTTAATATTTCGAAAATCCGTTGCAAATCCTAATCCTAAGTTATTGAGCCCAAAAAGAACACTTTAATAACAATAAGCCGACATTTGGGCGGAAATAAAATTTTCTTTATATGTATAAATCACAGTTACATGCACCCAATGGGCCAGGGAGGCAATTGCCTTAAGATAGATAAAGGATATAAATTGTAGGTAAAATAAATATAGCAGGGCCGTGTGCAGTATTTTCTCATTCGGGAGTATATATATATCGACACACCCTCCAAAACTTCTTAACTATTTATTTTCCATGAGGTTTAAAATATATATGGGTGATTCTACAAAAGTTGGGCAACTTTTGACCTCATTTTGTTTAGGTATATAGTTTTCGGAGAAAATTAAACAGTATTTTGTTATGAGAACATCGATAATATAATAAATATACTGTTCCAGACCGGGCCAGTCACTTTTTCAAACAATTTCTGTAATATCTGTGTTTTCTAAATTTGAATGCAAGGGAAGTGACGAGTATAGGGGAAGAAGCTGTAAGAGTGCGCACTTAAAGTATTTTTGTCCATGATAAATCAACAGTTTTTACAGACAACGTGGAAAATGTCTTCAATAAAAATCTGTATATTTCGTAACTCATTTATTAAAAAAAATATTTAAATTAAATCATTTCCAATAAAAAAACATCAAATTAACAAATTATTGCATATGCGTACTCTTTTCAGTCTGAGTTTGTAAGAGTACGCAAAAGGTATTCTAAGAGTACGCGGCTATTGTGGGCAAAAGTCGCACACATAATTACCTCCCAGATAATTTGAGCACGATTCATGCCACCATTTTTCACATTTTTCACATTGAATCCAGTCCTCGTCTGGTGGATCTGTGAATTCTTCATCACAACCAGGACATATAGCGTCTGGTTCATTGGGCGCATTTTGTGTATTTTCCAAGACGGTTTTCCCTTGCTTTGAACTTTTTAGTAGCCCATAGAATCTAGCATCCATATCTCTGACGTAATTAGCTAGTTGAGCTTCCATTTCTGATGAAAATGTACAGGTAAAGCGACCTAGCGATAAAGGTATTGTGCCAGCCTTAAGTCTTTTGCGAAGGGTAGCCTCGGGGATGCTAAATTCCTTAGCTACACTTCTTTTGCTTTGGCCATTTTCAATTTTTTCACGGATTTCTTGGAGAATATTCTCGGTAAAAACCAATTTTCGTTCACTTTTTCTTTTATAATACGTCAAAGCTAGTTATTCCTAAAAGAAAGGCGGTAAGTATTATTATTATTATTGATTATATAAAGGTAATGATAATATTAATTATTATAATTACTTAATAATAATAATTACTTAGTAATGTAATATGTTAAAACACGTTACGCGTAAATTGAACAGGTAGATCTAAAAGCAGTCATTTTAGTCCAACATGTATAGAATGTAAGAGTACGCACCGCGTACTCTTATAAATTTTAAAATGCGCACTCTTATAAACATTTACATTTTTTACATTTATTGGTTATGTTTTGCTCAAAAATTACAAAAATTATGATATAATAAGTTAAACATCTTACCAAATACTGCAGTAAACGTTTCAGATCGACAAACACTTCCTTTTTTATTTCACAGTTTAAATAAAACCTATTTATTGCACTGCAAAAGTTACAATGGACAGCATGTCTTATAATATGAACTGAATTTTACAGAATAGCTTAAGCGGTTACAGAAATCTGCATTACCAACAGATATATTACATTAAATGGTACATTAAAGTTATAATCAACAGGTGGCGGTAGTCTGTTTATACCGAAAAACGGACACCGCGTACTCTTAGAGAACGCGCACTCTTACCCTATCTTACCCTACCAGGGTACTAATTAAATACATAATTTATTGGAAAATATAAGATTTATTGCAACTTTGAGAATATTATATATTACATATCTTAAAATCAAATAATACCACACATCAGTGGCGGTTGGTGGATTTTGGATATACCGATATATCAATTATTAGATATGGGACCTACACCAAATTTATATGAGTTTATAATGACATTAAATAAACAAGTTCTGCAAAAGCAGAATTTAAATTAAAGTTTGCGAAAAAAAGATAACCGAAACATCTAACATGGAACTGACGACACGGTACTGATGAATGGTATACAAATTTGAGATTATAATTCGGAATTAAGTATTTTACTGATATTTTTTATTAGTGGATGCTATAGCATGATGATTTGTTGATAAGTATACTTATCAACAAATCACATATAGCCTTATATAAATTACAATAAAATATATATACGTAAGAAAATAACTACTCACCACAGTACTGAAATTTTGACTGGAACTATACGTGCATTCACCACAACTTCGCCGCTTGCATTGTTTTCAAGATGACTGTCGTGCAAAGAGCGGGCTCTGTAGGTAATTTTTTACCAACACTTGAGTTAAAACGAGGACTTGAGGTTTAAACTTAAATTTTTCGCAGGAATTTTGAACTTTAACATTGGACACAGAACTGACGGGTAAAAGTGAGTACAAAGATTATCATTTTAAAAAAAATTGCTATTATTTGAATCTATGATGAAATATGAAAAATACATTATTTAATGTTTTATAGTTTGTAGTGAAATTAAAAAATTTAAGATAAATTGAATATATTTTAAAATAAAACCACATGTTTTGAATATTTATTATGGTTTTCTGCAAACGTGCTTTTGAAAAAATACATTAAAATTGGGGGAGAAGTTAAAAAAACTGGAAAATATTTATAAAAAATATTAAAATACCTACTCTATTGACTGATGACATCAAGTTGTACAACTTTTGTAGAATCACCCATATATATATATATATATATATATATATATATATATATTCATATTTTTATTTAAAAAAAAATTCCAGGATGTCCAAATTCTAGTTTGCTTCTTAATATTTAAGCTGATCCGTCAAACATTGTACAATTTGCTATTTAAAATCATGATCAACACATTTTTGATTTATTCTAATTATCCTTATGTTCAACCAATAACTCATTTTTATATTACGTTTAATTAGGCCTAATTAGTGTGGCATAAAATCGATGTTTCCATTTATAAGAGGATATTTTTCAGACGATAATCTATTCAATTGCGGGAACTGGTTTGTTAATTTCTGAGAATTAACTGGATAAAACACAATTCTGTATTATAAGTAAAACATTTACAAAATTACAAAAATTATGTTAAACCGCGTATAATAATCTGAATTAATTAACATTTTAAGTGTGTGTAAATTTAAGAGTTTTAATTTATATAATTCCCTATTTTTAAATTAATTAGGCGTTTGGTTAAAAAACCTGGTAGGTAATTCACATTTAGAAATAGTCTGACCTAAACCGGATTTTTTGAAATGCTGTGTTGAAAATTGCTAAAAAATTAATAAAACTTATTTTGGTGCCTTAAGACTCTTAAGTTAAGAGACTCTCAATAACTTATTGACAATAAGAGTAAAATTTTAGCAGCAGGCAACCGAAGTGACTTCGCAACGAAAGTGACGTCATATTAAAAGTGTTTTCAAATATTTGAGGTTAATTATTTTAAGTATTATTCTTTAACTTTTAAAGTTAAACTTTTTTTAACGTAATAAAAATCTGCAACGCTGGTCAAAATTGGATAATTAAAAATTGCCCTAACATTTAATTTATTTAAAACCGGGTACCTAATTAAAACTTGCACATTAAAGTAAATGTTTCAGGTAGGTACCTAACTAAAAACTGAAAACTGCATATTAAAATTTATGTATCGGGTAATTGAAAACTGCCCAAACAATGGATAACTGAAAACTGCTGCACTTTAATGGTATGCCATTTAAAAGTAATAAAGGTATTCCTTTATTTAATTAAAATAAGGTTATTGAAAATTGCACATTAAATTAATGTTTTGGGTTATTAAAGACCGCCCAAATTTGAACAAAATTAAATAATTAAAAACCGCCCTTAACTTTAATTTATTTAAAACGATCACCCAAAAAAGTTCTAAAAAGTTTATCTTTTGACCATTTTTAACTTTTTATTATCATACCATTTTTTAAGGAGTTTAAATTGAATAAGGTATTTATTTAAACACAAAAATAACACACTAAGGATATGCCATGCATAATTTTTCAATAATTATTAAGCATTTAAGTTTAAAAAACTAGGCAAAGCTGTGTATTTCCTTATAAACACATCTTGTTGTATACAATTATTATACATTATAATACATTATAATGGAAGCAAAATAAACAACGTTTTTGCTGCGAACAGTTCCTGTCAAAAACTGAAAAAAATTAAATCATCATAACAATTTTTTATTTTTAAAGGTATTTAGAAAATTATTTTCTTCCTCTTTATACAGTGCACTGTAAAAATCCCCCCTTTCTTTTATTTTAAAAAAATGTTATTATGTAAAACACTACATTAAACGCAACCCTATTCGAGAAAAAACACCTATTAGTGTCCAAAATTAAGTTTTACAGGAGAAGCGATTGAAGTTTATGCAGCATAGACGTATGTAACGTTTGACTTTAAAATTAATAGCAATGTCAATTTTTTAGACAAACAAATTCTATCTGGACCTTTCAAAAGATGGTTTACCACTCTATAAATATTGATAATCTTGAAAATCACACTAGACGTTCGGATCGCATCACAAACACTATTAAATACTAATATTTAAAAAAAATTCAAATGGCGTTGTAATTACCCATGGAAAAATATCGTCTAGAATTTTTTTGACGTTCCTCTTTTATTGACGATTTTTCAGACGATATCATCAAATATTGATGACATCGCCTATAAAGTCCTTTAAAATAGAAGATCGCCTGTTATTTTTGTTGACGATCGTCAATAAAAATACGCGATCGTCATTGTAAAATTGATGATCATCTAAATAAAATGACGATCTTCTATCTAAACGTTGACGATCGTCATACAAATCAGGCGATCTATGTATTCTAAGCAATCGATCGTCTTCAGAAAATGAAGATCGTCTTTTGCAATCGTCTTTAAAAGGAGTAATCGTGAATTTCACAATCTTAAAACTAGGCGGTCTCTTTTAATAAACAATGATTTTTAAATTATTGTATAAATAATAGTTATTAATATATATTATAATTATTTTATAATTTTTAAATTCTTTTAATTAAAAAATTTAAATGGAAATTTTTTGTAATTTTTAAATCATTAATATACAAGGTGATCACTTAAAATTGGGCAAAAATTTAAGGGGCGATTTCTTCGGTTATTTTTGGAATATATTGTGCTGTGATTATTTTTGCAAATCCGGCCGTTTTGTTTTGAATTAGTTTAATTATGTTACTCTTTAACAAGAAATTTAGGGGTGATTTTTTGGGTTATTTAAATAATATTAAGCAATGCCGATGGGATAAGAGTCTGTGTTTTTATTATTTTATTTTTATTATTTTGGCATCAATATATATTAAATATTAAAATATATATTTTTAATACACAGTTTATTTTATTTATTAATACATACCAATGATATATTTTTTACTGTTCTTTATTAATCTAAATTTATTCTGATTCATTAACCAAAGTTAAGTTAATTATTAATTGTATAATTGTTTAGCTGCTGCTATCCATACTGTTTATTTTCAAATGCAAAATTGCAAAAAAATGCATTTTTTATTTAATTATTTACAATTATTATAACATTTTTATAAATTAAATAATGCTTACAAAAATTTAAAACTTTGCAATAAAATTATTATTTTAAATTAAATATTTATTTATTGCTTCCAAAAATTTAAAACTAGAATTCTTACAATATTTTATATATTATTATTTATGAAGAGAAGCTTGATAAAAATTATATTATATATACAGTTGTATTCAATAAAAAAGCGTACAAGAATTAGAATGAGAGAAAACTGTCAAAATAATAGTATTGCTTAAAACCGGCTTATCACTGACATAAGTCATTAAAATAATTACTATAGGTTTTAAAGAGCATTGACGTCGTAGGTTAATTAAATAATATTACAAAAATTATT